CTTTTCCTTTCCTTTTCTTTCCTTTTTTTTAGTTTAATTTTTTGCCGCCGATCGAAATGGAAACACGCCGCGAGATGTGCCGGCGATCACGGCATATATACAGAGAGAACATGTTGAGCCACTGTAAGGTTGCCAAGGCATTACCTTTTCTTCCTCGGCCCTGTTCGTTTTAACTTATCAGCCATACTGTTTCAGTAAAATAACAGTATTTTTTCTCTCATAACAAATTAATATCAGCCTTTTTTTTCAGTCAGCCGAACAGAGCCGCATTTTTATGTTTTTTATGACAAGAAAGCAGTGAAGACTGAAGAAACAAGCTCACGCACCGGCAAACAATAAACTCCGCTAAAAACGGACTGTACATGTCCTTGTAAGAGCACGAGAAAGAAACACGCGTGCACGGCCCGGCCCGGCCCGGTCTTTGCGAAACGTCCTATTCTGGGAGCAGAGCACTCTGACTGACTGGTGGGGCCTGTTCAGCAGCATGCGTACTATCCTGCTGCACTGCGGTGGACGCCTAATACTCTGCTCTAGCCTGCACACGTACTGTACAGCCTGTTTTGACGACAGTGGATTATTTACTGCTGGCTGGTTTGATATGAGAGAAAGATAATATTTCAGCTTATAATTTACGATCATTTACGACCGTATAATCCCAGCCGAACAAACTGTTAGTTGTCAAGCTTTGTATTTAACACATCTTAAAAACCGTTGATTTACATGATCGATTCACCGTTCACGTCATAGTCACGTTGGCTCTCATATCAGAGTTTTCTTCAATCCTCTACCCCGCATTTCCGTGGTTCCAAGATATAGCCTTGCAGATCCACTGTAGTTTTATTATATCAAATTTTTTATAGCTTTAATTTATAGTAAAAACACGCAAAAGCGTATAACATCAGATCGATTTTCCATCGAAACCAACATGGAATATTTATTTGACTGCGCATTGATTCGGTACTCCATATGTTAATACATTTTTTTTCAAAAAGAAAAAAAAGAGTCAAGATATGTCTGGCTCAGAACAAAGCTAAAATTAGCTATAGTTTAGACGAACGACACAACAGGAGCATTAGTTTAGCCAAGCCTTCACATGGCTGTCTATTTATTTTCACCATGTTGTGTTTTACCTAACCTTGAGCTGTGAGGAAGCTCGACGCTAACCCGACAACCCCTAACAAACTACCGCGGCCGAAAACCATGTGGTGTGATTAACCAGCATAAGTGCCGCTCTTGATGTGTAATCATGCATGCTTAGCAGGCGTGACTGACTATCACCTTTCATCATCATTTTATTATCACCCAAATATCCTCCTGCTTTTGTACATAGGCTCTCCATTTGAACGCGCCACTTGTCTTCTCCGTCCCCCCAGCGTCACCACTGTTACTAAACTTTTTTTTTTTATAACAAGTTAGACCTGAGCGAAATAGGGCCACAGTCTGACCCGAGCCCATTGGGCTAGCCCCCGCATGCACATCTATCTATTGTCTACGGATTGGGCAGCAGAACATGAACCGAGAAAATCGATCCCGGCCCTAAAACGGCCCGAAACATATTCTTTAATTAATTTTTAGTTAGCTACCAATTATCCAAACATGCCCTTATTCAGACAAGGTCAATTCGTGATGATCGATTAATGGGCTGATTTAGCTTCTTGACTCGACGTAGGGCCTGTTTGGTATAGCTCACCTTCACTAGTGAAGCAACATTTAAAGCCGCTTTAAAAAAAATGTTTGGTAAAGCATGTTCTCAGGGAAGATAGAAGAAAGAAAGCTAGGTAAAGCTAGTATTTTCAACTTTACCTCGGTTCCCATGCTGTGAGAGAAGCTGAAAAACAGTTTTGTGAAGCTGGGATATAATCTCTACCAAACAGGCCCATACTAGTTGGTCGGCCCAATATGTAAAAAGGCCAACTAATTGTGGGCCAGGCTTTCACAGCCCTGTCAGCAATAATAGGCTATGCCTAGACTGGTACGGGAAGAAGTCCTATTGATACCTCCAACTATGTTTGGAGTTCAAGTTAAGCTATGTTTAGATCCCACCCAAAATCCAAAATTTTTCAAGATTCTCCGTTACATCAAATCTTGCGGTACATGCATGGAGCATTAGATGTAGGTAAAAAGAATAACTAATTGCACAGTTTGCCCGTAATTGACGAGACGAATCTTTTAAGCCTAAATAGTCCATAATTGGACAATTTTTGCCAAATACAAACGAAAGTGCTACAGTAGCCAAAAGCTAAAATTTTTCACATCTAAACGGGGCCTTATAACCTGTTTGATACTGCTCCAGTTTCGATTCAAACAACTCGGGTTACAATTTTTGGTGGAGTAGCTTTAGTTGTAAAAAAATATTTAGTACAATTGCTTCTCCCAGTAGGTAAAACACATGAAGTATCCATAATGGCTTTTTTTTTTTGGTTTCTTTATTTAATTCTTCTTTAACAGCTTGTTTTTATTTAATTTTTGCCTCCTATTTATTAGATCTCTTCCTGTACCACATGTGTTTTTCACCAGTGCAACGAGTAAATGATTTTGCACCAGTGCAATAAGTAAAATTATGATTATAATTTTGCACCTCGTGCAATGAATAAAAAAATATTTATAGGAACCGTATACGCTTCCCTTGCTCTACATGCCAGGGCATGCATGTTCCATGGAACCAGCTAGGATAGAAGTAAGAAGATATCCCAATATACTACTCCATATAATAATATGCCCTCGTTTCTCAGTCAGAATCAACAAGAATATCCCCTCTTTTTTCTCATATATTTATACAGAAAAAAGAATAATAAAGAAGAAAAAAGGGAACCAGACGGAATATAATATTCCGATTCCGATTCCGACGAGCTTTGGTCGGAACATCGGTTTGTCCGATAGTGTCCACGCTCTCTCTCGATAAAGACAGGCCGATCCATCAGCGGCGGCGAATATTCAGAGCTCACCCTTCCCGTTCGTCCGTTCATGCAAAGGACGATTCCACATCGTCTCTGTCGCTGTACACTGCTGCTTCCTCCGTGTGAGAATAAAACAAGAAGAGAGGATTTCACGGGGATCCGCGGTGAAAACTGACTGAAACCGACACTCTCTCTCACACCGTCTCACTCCATTCTGATTAGGTAGGTCCTCTTTCACTCTTTGATTTTAACCGTTCATATTCGTGAGACAAGACCCGTCTAGCGAGGACGAGTTTGAGTTTGAATCCTGCGAAGAAATCACTAACATACATGAGGTTTGCACAGTCAGCAGTGATCTAGTAGTGTTAATATAATCTCGATCAAGGACTGAAGAGAAGCTAATGGACCAAGTCAGTGTGACTTGTGAGGTCTCTCTCTTCTCTCTCCCACTCACAGACTCACAGGTAAATAGACACACGACAGACAGACATGTTCAAAGTAGCCGCGTGCTGAACAAGAAGAATGGCTGGAGAATATCCTGCTCCGGCTTCGCTGCGGATAAGAGCACGCAGGACCCAGTTGCTACTATACTACTATACAAACATTACTCTGACCGCCAGCGACAGGGACGCCGGAGTTGTTAATGCCGGCGCCCCGGCAGCGTGCACCGCATGCATGCGTGCTGCTGCTGCTATGCTGCAGGCTTGCAGTACGGAGAGGAAGGAGTTCTGCATGCCAAGAACGCCCGCCGTCGGCAACGGTGAGGTTCTTGGAGTGCGTCGCGACTGTGCGAGGCCGCGAGCAACGCTCACCTGCAGCCGCCGGCCGCCCGGAGCAGTCTCTCCCTTTTCTTGGTGCCGGTGCCAGCCGGCCGGCCGGACGGTTGGGGGAGGGGAGGAACAGAGAAAGGCTGTTGCCGTGCCCGTGCTCTGCTTCGTCAGTTCAAGTTCATTCTTTTCTGTCAGACTTCAGTTTTTTACTAGTACCCCGTACTACCTGATAGACAGTAAACAGTACAGTGCAGATACGTGTTGTTCATGATGGGGAACAGGAACAGGAACAACCTGTTGGTTGGTTAGTGGTTATCAGGATTTCAGTCAGGACCACCTCCCAAGTTACAAGGACAGCATCCAAAGTTTCTATTCAATGCTCTGCCATCCTTTCAGTTGGACCTGAATGATATGCATCTGGAAAGCCACAGAGATATTACCAACCACGTTACAACTGTAATAATTCCATAAAAAAAATGCAATTCTAACTTCCGTGTCCAAATTTAAAGCTAGAATTATATTTTTTTCAGGACGGAGGAAGTACTCTATAAGGCATAACAAGAAATTGACCAGCATGTGCTTTCAACTATTCAACTTAACTGTTCATTCTGCAACAAACAGCAAAAATATTTTATATTAGAAAAAGCACAATCAGAAATTGGGTAGCATGTATACTTGCAGCAATTCAACTTAACTGTTCATACTCCACAACAGCGAAAAACATTTTATTCCCCACAAAATAGCACAATCAGAGATTGAGTAGCATGTACTTGCAACAATTCAACCTAACTGTTCATTCCGCAACAAACAGCAAAAACATATTAAAAAAAGTAGCACAACCAGAAATTGAGTAGCATGCACTTGCAACAATTCAACTTAAATGTCAATTCCAGAACCAACAGCAAAAAATACTTTATTAAAAAAGTAGCACAATCAGAAATTGACTGCAACTATTCAACTTAACTGTTCAATCCATGATGAACAGCAAAAAACATTTTATTCAACGAAAAGATGAATCGAAGATGATGATAGTCGACAAACAACGGATATGGATAAGCTCTCTCGGGGCGAAAATTGTAGCTCTGCCCGAAACATGGATTAGCAAGCCGCAAAACTGTAACTAGTATCATCTCTTTGGGATGTACAAACCCGACGACGACGCACCATCAGTTTGATCTCGAGCGCTCAAGGCCCGATTTTCCGCACTCCCTGTATGTAACTATGTATGTGTACAGACAGCTACACTACTCTCAGTTTCCCTCCTGATTCCTGAAGCTGCAATTGGTGGTCTCTCTGAACACACACTGATGCAACAGCAGCAGAAGCAGCAGCCTCAGCATTTCCAGCCATAGCTCTCAGACCGGCCGTCTTCCTCCTCACAGCTGACGGTGGCCGCTGACGAGACAGCGATGCCTGAGGTGGAGAAGTGGAGGGGGCCATGGGGAGACCCAGACTGCGAGCTGCTTTGCTCCTGGGGAATCCAGAGCCCTCCCACGAGCACGATCGGCTGGCTCACCACGCCGGATCCAGGCGCCCTTCGGTTGTGCAGCCGGTATTTCTGAAGAAACATCAGAATCAGAGAATCCATGTCAGCAACCATCACAACAAACTTGGGCAATGAATCTTCATCTCCCTGAGATGAGATGGATGAATGTCAAGGGGAGCTGCTGGATTGCTAAATGCTAACCTGAAGATGGCTTTTCACTTCGTCGTTTGTCAGGCCATCCACCTTCATCAGCTCCCTGATTTGCTTTGGGGTGGCAACTGCAGACACGGCATGAAGGAATGAACTCATTAATTCCAAGTTTATGTTTCTAATATGGCAAGCGATTAGGCAAGAACATGCTGGTGGCCCAAAATTGGCAAGAAAAATTGTGAATTTGGTATCTGATGAGGAAGAAGGCTCACCTTGGGGGCCACCGAGTTGATTCAAGGCGGCGACAAACTGCCGATGCAGCTCCGTCGACCAGCAGCGCCGAACCTTCCTTGACTGCTGCTGCTGCTGCTGCTGCTGCTGAGCTGTCTGCTGCTGCGATTGGGACTGGAGGCCAAACGCAGGGGCAGCTGGCGCCATGGCGGCCGCCCTCGCCACTGCCTGCGCAAACCCCACCACCTGGCGCCGGCTCTCCTCGCCGGCGCTCTTGGTCGCCGGCGGCGACAGCAAGGACAGATCCGGCATCCCGACGCGCGCAGCCTTGTCGTCCGTTCTCAAGCAGAGCGGCGCGAACGCCGGCGCGCCGGAGCCCACAGCAGCCTTGAACGGCAGGACAGCGCCGGCGGCGGCGCCGCGGGACTTGGCCTCCGGCGAACTCCTCCCCTTGTCTTGCTTCTGCGATCGCAAAACTCCAAACTTTTAGGCCACCGACGCACCCGACACCCCCCCAGATCCTCTCCCAGGAGAGCATTCAAGCCGCTGCACCAGCGATCGAATCGTGCCGTACCTCTGATTCCGCGTCCTCCCGGCCGGAATCGCCCGTCCAGAGCTGCGCCGTGCTCATCCACTTGTTTTGTCCCCGGCGGCGCCGTCCTCTTCCTCGTCCGCCGCCGCAGCCGCAGCCGCAGCCGGAAGGCTGCGATCATTCCTCCTCCTCGTCTTCTTCCCCGCTTCCTCCTTCATGACATCGATCACTGCGCACACGCCACCGCATCGCCGCGTAAAAATACCGCCCCCAAAAAATGGAAAAGAAGCGAAAGGAAAATGAATCACAGGTGGGAAAAAAGGGGAAGAGGTAGGTGCGCGCTCACCGTCGGCGAGGAGCCGCGCGCAGAGAGGGAGCTCCCGCTTGAACATCTGGATCTTGCCCCGCTCCTCCTCGAGGGCGGCGGATGCAGGCGTCCATGTCCGGCGCCGGCGCGCCGTCCTTGCTCTGCCTCACGGCCTTGGAGGCGAAGTGCCTCAGATCCAGGCTCAAATCGGCGCCCATCCCGATCTCCACGACGTCGAGCCCCATCGTCGCGATGAATCTGTCTACGGTGGTGTCGTGTGTGCCGGAAGGAAGAAGTGCGCGGGCGGCGGATGGGAACGGAGGGAGGTCGGGGAAGGTGAGCTCCATTTATAGGGGAGCCGAGCAGGGGAGGAAAAAAAAACTGAAGATGGGGTGGTAGAATCTCCGAATCAACAAGGACGAGTTTTCACGTCCATTGGAATATTTGCAGGAAAGCCCCTTATGTTTGTTGTATATTTTAGTGCTATATATACTCTTACATGTAATAATAAAAAGGTTTGGCTAACATTTGATAAAATATAGTCCAATGCATCTAGCCCATTAGCGGGTTTTCAGGTTCCGCTTTCACCGGAAAAAACCGGGTCAGCGGTTGTCTCTCTTTTAGTTATAATAAAAGCATATGACGAAATTTTGTCATCGCTTTTGGAAGAAACAATCTATTATGAATTTAATAAGTATTTGTAGTAGAGGAAGACCCTTTTGTGCTTGAAAGGATATTTTAATTTAGTGTTATATTTGCTCTTATGTGTAATAAAGGTTGGCTAACATTTCATAAACAAGGCTCATGATGTTCGCTAGATTTTGGGCTCTTGCTTTCATCTCAAAACTTGGATCAAGCTTGGTTCTTTTTTTACTCGATGAAAGCCTATGACGAAGCCTCTCATCATCGCTTTTGGAACAAATAACCGCTTATCGATTTAGTACATTATTTGTTGTATAGGAAGACCCCTTGTGTTTGTAGGATGTTTTTAATTTAGTACTACATTTGCTCTTGTAATAAAGGTTTTGCTAACATTTCATCAACAAAGCCTTAAGATGTATTAGCCAATCTTAGGCTCTATTTCATCTTAAAACCTGGATCAAGCTTGGTTCTTTTTTGCTCCTAATAAAAACCTACGACGATGCTTATGTCATCATTTTGGAAAAAACAATCTTTTATAGATTTAGTACATTATATGTCTTATAGGAAAACCCCTTGTGTTTCTAGGGTATTTTAAATTTAGTATTATATTTTCTCTTGTAATATAGGTTTAGCTAACATTTTATAAACAAAGTCCAATAACGTATTAGCCAGTTTTTAGGTTCGGTTTCGCCTAAAAACTAGGCCAAGCTTGGTTCTTTTTTACTCTTAATGAAATCCTACGACGAAGCTTCTGTAAGTGTTTTGGAAAATTAATAATATTTTACATATTTAGTACATTATTTGTCATATTGAAAGACCCCTTGGGTTTCTAGGATACTAAGGTTTAGCTAACATTATTTCAGGAACAAGTCCCATGACATATTAGCCAGCTTTTGGGCCAATTTTTGTACAAAAACTAGATCAAGTTTGATTTGTTTACTCCTAATAAAGATCTACGACAAAGCTTCCGTCATCGTACTGGAAAAATTACCTGGCCTTTAATAAATTTAGTACATTAATTACTCAACAAAATTACTTAGATTGTAAACTTTCTACTCAAGGAACCTTGTAAGGCCCCTTCTAGAAGGTATAATTTCTTATTATTTTTTATATCTAGTTTAGTTGCCATAGATTTTGGAAAATAAATAAAAAGATCTCAAGTGTCGAAGGGGAAATGATTTTAGGAAATAGTTTAATTGGAAAAAAAATATGTGGCCTTTTACAAATTTAGTACATTAATTACTCTACAAATTACTTAGGCCCCGTTCGGCTTGCTGAAACTTGGCTGAATTAGCTGAAAAACACTGTTCTGACTGAATTGTTGTGAGAGAAAAATATTGTTCCGGCTGAAAAAACGAGCTGAATAGTGTGGATTATAAGGTAAGCCGAATGGGGCCTTAGATTCTAAACTTTCTACTCAAGGAACCTTGTATGGCCCCTTCTAGAAGGTCTAATTTATCATTATTTTTTATAAACTGGTTTAGTTGCTATAGATTTTGGAAAAAAAAAAAAAAGATCTCAAGTCTAGATGGGAAAATTATTTTAGGAACTAGTTTAATTCGTACATATTTTAGAAAATAAAAATATTTCAAATCAAGAAGGGCAAATTTAATGTGACCATATTTAGTTCATGTTTGGTAGAGCTCATCATTCTATGATTTGTTCTCTAAGTTATTCTCTATGGGAAGTTATTTTATGGCTAAAAGTGATTCTCTAGAATAAACTCTTCGAATAAAGTGATTCTATACGTGGAGTGAACCAAAAGAAACTATTTTTCCAGTTCCTAGCCTCCTAGTTCATTCATAGAATCACTTCTCAACCTGAAAAACGCTCAGGAATGAAGCTCTGCCAAGTAGGCCCTTAGGGTACTACTAATGACTTGTGTAAAATTATAGGATGAGATAGAGCAGTAAACATCTACATTTTTTAGCAAAACAAAAACCCGATCTTGGATGACTTGTTGAAGTGAAATCGTATTTAGTTGCGTATATTACATGCATGGTCAGAAATCCAAATATTAATTAGTACATATTGAATTACATCGATTGCTCTTCTATTTTTTAACTAGAACAAATATTTCTTCATATATACACCTCTGTGAATGATTTTACCATTTGTCTTTTGTATTGGTTGAATTGTGATGCCTAGTACCTCGTGTTTCTTTTATGGTTCGTCAGTCTATTTTATATTCTTTAAAAGAATTAATGAGTATTTGTGGTACATACTAGCTGGATTTAACACACACAAGAATGTGATACTCATTGTGGTGGCCTCGAGGCATCCATTGTCTGATTTTGCATCATAATCCTCCCTTGATATATATATGCCATTATATTATGTATGCTAGTGATAAAACTTAAGTGTCAATGAAGTTTTGACACTACTAAATCTCATCAAAAGTGCTTCAGAATATATTGGCCCCGTTCGCTGGTCTGAAACTTGGCTGAAAAACACTGTTTCGGCTGGTTTGTTGTGAGAGAAAAACACTGTTTGGCTGGTTTGATGAACAGTGCATTGAGAGGGGAGATCGGCCAGCCGGCTGGTCTTATAAGACCAGCGAACGGCCCCATTATTCATTTTTCTTGAACTATTATATTCCTTAAAGATCTAAGGTAATTTTATTGTCGACTAGAGAGATGATAAGATGTTTGAAAATGTATTGTCTGAGCACTTAATTAGACACATGTCCATGGCCTGGCCACCACTTTGCTTAGGCCTATATATCTTGAACTTGAAGTGAGCTAAATGTTGCTTGCTGCTCTCTCAAGATTAAGCTCTACGATGCATAAACCCAAGCACTCAAGCATTGCCTAGACTTGGTAGTTTGGCATATATAACAACTGTTATTAATCGAACAAAGTACTTAGTTGTGTTTTGTGCTATTCGTGTAATATTTTACTATTTGTGTTAAAACTAAAGGGGTATTCACCTTTTCTTGATCCTTTGAGCTCGGAATATCCAGGCCAAGCCCAAGTATCTTTTTGGTATATATATAGTCTAAAGTATTATAGGGCTGGCTCAAAGCTCAAAACTCGAAGTGACACTCGAGAGACGATTTGACATTCATCGTAGACATCGTGCAAATTTGGAATATACCCGTTAGCTTTTGCAAGCAAAGGAAATTCCATGACAAGCATGCATGCATGGTGCATGGTTAAAAAAAACTTCACGACAAAAAGGACGCCCCCTTCGAAGATGGATAGGAATTGGCTGCCTCCCATTGTCTTATTAGGGCAGTGACATCATTTCAACATGGCATATACATATGGGGCTGGAATATCCATCTACTAGGAGATAAGTTTTGTTAGGGAAATGCTTGCAAATTGAGCCCACCTTTACTTTTATAGGGCAGCTGCGTGTTGCGTGGTGGTGTCATCGCCCACTATATATAACTAGTACCACTTGTTTGTGCTACTATATGTTTCCTAAAATTCAAAGACCCATATACTCTTTTTTGGAACACATGAATTTCATATAAATTGTATTCAAATTTCATAGAAAAAACACATGAATTTCACATAAATTGTATTAATTTTCATAGAAAAAACACAGAAAACACGAAACTTTTCGTTACAAAGGGGCCTAATACGACTTCCTGAACAAATTAAACCAATATACTATATGTTTAACTGGATCCAATAAAGGTAAAATTGATTCAAAGAATAATATTTCCGAATAAAATCTATGTCGCATCAGATTTTCACTTTTTGAAAAAAACAAAAAAAGGAAAGGATTTTCTCGAAAAAGCAAAAAAAGAAGAAGGATTTTCCATGTAAAAAAGGAGACGTACGGTGGATTAAAACAGGTTGGGTAAAAATAAATAATAAATGAATAAATAAATAAAAGTAGAAAGAGAGAGAACCCCAGCTATCCAATTCCAAATCCAAAGCAATGCAATCCTTGGTGAGCAGGCGACAGTAGAAGGCACCAAATTAAAAGAGTTGGATTCCAATGCCCCCACCTCCTCCTTTTACCTCGAATCCAAACACTCTTACTTGGAATCCAACACACAAATATCTTGCAATTTCAGTTCTTCCGCTTCCCAGGTGTGGGAGCGGCCGCGCTCGTGGGTTCGATTTGTGGCTGAGACGAACTTGTCCATCTCACCGGGGATTTTTCCCATGAGGGAACTGGACGAGTGTGTGTGTGAGTAGTACGTGCTGGGTAGACGTTTCCTAAGACTTCTCGAACAGTCTTATCTGTACTTGAGTGAGTTTTGGTCAGTATAACTGTCTAATACGAGTCTTGCTTAGGTGACATGCCAATGCTCCGGCGGTATTAAAAAAAAAAGACAGAGAGAGGAAGCAAATGGAAATATTCTTTGGGTATATTTTGCTTAAATATAAAATTGTACTAGTACTAGGTGCGGATCACATATCATGAGATGCTTTCTTTCTTTTTTTTCTTGGAAAGGGCAAGTAGAAAAAGAAAAGAATATAGAAGAAGAATGGGAGCCAGTCTTGTGGTTTGGCCGGAGGAGCAGGGGCATTCTCGTCACGTTCTCTGTGAGACAGCTTACGCGCACTCGGTTCGCCACGTTACCTAACTAGGCCAGCCAAGCATAGGGCATACTACAACTACTCCGTAGTGCATAGTACTGCATAGGCCGGTCAGGTCCGTCCGTTTCAGAGCATGGTTAATAACCCAGCCAGTAGCGGGCGGTATGCCACTGCCATGTCATATACAGCCAGCTATATAGTCAACTCATATAGTAGATGAGCTCTTTGGCTGGCTGCTGCTCAGATTGTAATCATTTATTGCTCAAATGTGCAAACAAGCTGCAAACCATCAGCTGTGATCACATCTTTGTGGCTGTATATATGTGCTCATTCAACTAGAAAACAAATATGCTCATCCATACGATTTTACCAAACAAAATCTGAGATGAACCATTTTACCAAACAACATAATAAAATGGAAGGCCATTGGCGATGAATGGCAAATTTCAAGCAACAATACAAATTTCAAGCAACAATACCAGATAGATGACAAATTTCAAGCAACAGTTCGCTGGCACATAGACCATTAACTAAAAACAATACTAAATAAGTTCGTTGGCACACAAGCCATTAACTAAAAACAGTACTAAACAAGTTCACTGGCACACAGGCCATTATTTATTGATCTAGACGACGATGCTAGAAGCATGAAGCCATAGTTGATAGCTGAACTTCGGTAGAATGCAGCAGCCAGCCCATTTGCATCAAAAGTGAAAACACTGCAAGCATAATAATGCGAAAGTCAAACATATGGGTCCTGAAAATTAGCTAGAAAAGTTTCTGTTTGTGGATAAGTGTGGATCAAATATGTTGAAGAGAACATGTTCAGAATTTTAGAGTGGATACCTGCAAGTAGCATCTGCAGCATTCAGCACGCCATGCCCAGTCCTGATTCATGAAAAGATACATGTAAGACATCATTTTAGTTCTCACTGTGAAGGAAAAAAAATAACAAAAACATGTAGATTTCATAATTCTACCATGACTAGTTCTGATGGCTATTTCCAAACCTACGCCAAATGTGCTCGACCAAATCATTTTTAAGCTGGGTATGCTGTGGACGAGCACGGATAGCAGCTTTTCTACGCAACACATCAGCGAAGCACAGATTACCACCAGTGTTCACTTCAGGAGGTAGAGCAATGGATGCCCCTGGATTCTCATTCAAATCAATATGAATAGTAGCATCCTCTCTCTCATCTTCCACTATCATATTGTGGAGAATCACACAAGCTAGCATGATCCTTCCAACACTCTTCCTCTTCCACAGGCGTGCAGGACGGCGAACAATGGAAAAACGGGACTGCAGTACCCCAAAAGCACGCTCCACATCTTTCCTTGCCCCTTCCTGGTGCTTGGCAAACAACTTATGCTTCTCTGTTTGAGGAAGTGTAATAGTCTTCATGAAGGCTGCCCATTCTGGGTATATACCATCAGCAAGGTAATAACCTATGTTATACTCATTCCCATTAACTGAAAACTGAATTTGAGTGGCTTCTCCTTTTAAAGCATCAAAAAATAGTGGGGACTGGTTGAGCACGTTAAGGTCATTGTTTGACCCAGCAACTCCAAAGAAAGCATGCCAAATATGAAGGTCCTGAGAAGCAACAGCTTCTAGGACTATAGTTGGAACTCCATAATCACCACGGGTGAATTGACCCCTCCATGCTAAAGGACACTTCTCCCAACGCCAGTGCATGCAATCTATGCTACCTAGCATTCCAGGGAAACCACGAGACTCATTAACCTGGAGTAAACGCTCAACATCCTCACGTGTGGGGCGTCGCATGTACTCCCCACCAAACACCTCAATCACCCCTCGTGCAAACTTGTCCAAGCACTGTAATGCAGTGCACTTTCCAATCTTCAAGTACTCATCAAGAGCATCTGCAGGAGTGCCATAAGCCAGCATGCGCATGGCTGTTGTACACTTCTGCAGTGGTGACAGCCCTATTCGACCAGCACAATCTGCCCTATAAGTAAAATAGGGAGACCACTGACCAAGGGCATCCACAATGCGTAAGAATAGACGCCTATTCATACGGAATCTAGTACGGAACATACTCTCGGGGTAGAGTGGTTCTGCAGCAAAGTAGTCCTCTACAAGACGCTCATGAGCACCTCCATGATCCCTCCGGATGCTCTTTCTAGGACCATATTGTCGCTGAGAAACCCCACCCGAGAAGGCAGCCTTGATCTTCATTGTGAGCGTGCTAGCAAAGGAGTCGAGGACGCTCTGCTCTGCAACATGCTGTTCAATGATTTTGGAAGGAGCTAGTTCATCAGAATCATCTGAGTATGAATATGAGTCAGACATGGTTTGGGCTGAGTAGAAAGATGAGAGAGCACGAGTAGGAAGATGAGAGTGTTCTGATGGGCTGTAGAAGTAAGATGGTGACTACAATGTCCTCTATAAAGACATGGCTGAAATCAGCCTCAATCAACTCAGACATGGCTGCCACTACTTGGCACTGCTGCCACTACTTGGCACTGTTGCCATGCTTCTATAGTAGATAGAGAGGACAACATTGTAGTTCAGCACTGCATTGTATAGAGTGTTCTGATCTACATTGTAGTTCAGCACTGCATTGTAATTAGGTGCAATTTACTGCATTATAATTAGGTCCTAAATGCACCAGAAACCAATAGTGTCCACGTTTTCAGCAACAAAATGTATTTTAGTAAGCAAGACCTTAGTAACTAAAAAAACTAAATTTTAGTAGGATTGTACCTCAGTCATTTTTGTTAAATAAGCTCTCCCTCAGGCACTTCAATGCCAACATATGCTCAGCTTTCACATCTTCAGGCATTCCGGTTGTGTTTTGCATCAATAATGATCTATATGTTTCTAGCATAACTGCCTCCTTGTGCTCTTTTGCTGCAAGGTGAGCAAGCCTCCGAGATTCAAGCTTCTCACTGGACACACGCCTTTGTGTTTCTAACATCTCTGCACGCCCTTCATTTGCTGCTTTTTGAGCATCTAAAAAGTTGTTAAGCTCATCTTCAAGATCTATTATACAAAGGTCGCTTTTTTTTTTTCTTCATCTCGCTCCTTAGCTTTCTTGCCCCCTATTGGCCGTTCATCGTCATCTAGAGAGAAATGTTGCCCCACATCCTCCTCAACAAACTTTCTCTTGCTCAGGTTCAAGATCCTCGAGGCGTTCTAGATAGGCGTCCCCATTTGGCTCCTTGCTAAGAACTTCCCAACAATGCCTAAACATGAATGGCCCATCTTTTTTGTGGTCTTCTTCAGAACTTTGCGAAGGGCCTTGTTCATTACATCCTCATCAGATTCACCACTAGCCCACATAGCATTGGCCTCCTTCCGATTACCACCAAACCAAGCAACCCTTTTCTTAATTCTTCCAAAGTGATCCTTTATTTGCTTGGCTGTCCCGACTTCGGTCTTTTGGGGTGGTGCTATTAAATACATCGGCAACACCTTTCCAAAGATTGATCATTCTTCTTAAAATTGGCTTGGATTGGATCATTTGAATTATTCACCCAAGCAATGTAATTCCTAAAACATTGTCAAATTGTCAAAAGATGTTAACTGATGTGCTAACAATGTAACACATGGAGCCCATTAACCCAAAAAAAAAGAAGATCTTACCAATCTAAGATCCTCCTTTTTGTCCATGTCAGCTGTTTTTCAGTCCTAGTATTGTTGTCAACATCAATATGTATTGCTTGTGATGAACTCCCATTGCTCGCAGCTTGTGGTGTGCTCTTCAAAATATTTAGGAAACCACCAGGAGGGTGAGAATCTAGTCCCCTGGCAAAAAAAATGTACCCTAAATCAAAATTTGCATTAAAGAACTAGATATAAATAAATAGCAGCTTAGAACCAGAGATCTATAGTTAAAAAAATTCATGTCTAACTAGATAAGAAGCATCACAAAAAGCTGCGAAAGTCTCTCACGATACAGGACATCTAATTTCATAGCTACTGAGATGAAATACTTGCACATAAATATTAATCGTCATCGGTACAGAGATAACATACCATTCTTGCACATCGGACTCCTCAAGATTAGGCCCAGACCAAGGATATGTCAAGCACCAACGCCAGGAGGTGCCCACCAAGGGCCTTGAGCCGATGAGCTTGCCATGCCCGGTTGTTGCACGCCGTTAGCCAAGATGGTGCGGAGGAGGGAGGCATGGACTGTGGCGGCGAGGCGGGCACCGCACACCAGAGTCCAAACATGGAAGGGATGGACGGCGGGGAGCGGGCTGAGCCGTCAATGCAGCTGACCAGACCGAGCCACCGGCGGCGGAATCTCCATGGGCGTTACGCAGATGTTCTCTTGGACTTCCGACTCATCTCGCCCAAGTTATGGCTGCTTGGGTATGGCAGCTAGGGTTTTAGGAGAGGTGGCGATTGGGGAAGATTTGGGGCTTAAATCCTGGATTTGTACGCGAGGAATCGATTTGGCGCGAGGAATCGATTTGGCGGAAGAGCATGATCTATTTGGCGCCGGGAAGGGAAGCGGAGCACGGATCGGGAAGGAGAGAGACGGAGGATGAGGCGCCGCTTCTCGCTCACATCAGCCGAAAGACGGCGTTTTTTTTCTCGTGACGCTGCGCTACAGCCGGGCGAAGAGAATAACGCTCGCTCGTGATCTCTCTCCTCCGTGGCTGTTTTTTTTGATGGCGTGGACTCCTCTCCGTCGGCTTGCAGTCGATTATAATACTTGCTCTCATGCGCCATGCAGCTACAACCACCTAGTACGAGTTGTAGTAGCTTGTCGTATGTAGGCCCGTCACCCTACGTGAGAGATGTACCAAAATCTTAGGCTGGTCACCTTCCATTATATATTTTCTCAATGGAAGAGAACCATCAAAAGTCAAAGAAAAACAAAAAAAACTATTAAAAAATAGCTTGACCGAAGGTGCACGCTCTAGCTCCGGCCACGGCGCCATCGGCTAAAACCAGCCTCCTCTGGTAGCCTTTTGACGGGAGTCCTAGACCCATCCGGTGGCGTCACCAGAGAAACATAGAACAAAGAAGGAAGTTAAAGTAAATATGTTCGGCGGATGGTTTTTGCGGCTATTTCGCTGTGAGAGAAAAACACTGTATTGATCATGGTTGCTAAGTTCAAGTGAAAAGGGCGTTACCATTGGATTTCTCTAATGGTGGCTGTTGAGAGCACCGAAAAAACGCCAATCTACGGGTAGTTACCAATTTAATATAGGTCGTTTAAATATTGCTGGATCTGACCATTGTTTCTCTTGTGGGGACATCTCTGATTCTGACCATTGCTGCTGATTCAGATTCCAATGCCCCCTCCTCATGATCCTTGTCCTTGAATCCAGCACTCAATTTTCTGGCAATTTCATTTCATTTCATTTCATTTCATCTTCCCTTGAGGGAGAGAGAGGGGGGAGAGGGGGAGGTAGCAAATGGAAATATTGTCGAGGCATTTTTGCTTACATCTAAAATACTAGTTGGTGCGGATCACATGAGATGCCTTTTTTTTCAACGCCCGGGTCCCGGTGAGGAGTGGACAGCTTACACGCAGCCGGGTCGCCACGTATGTAGTATACAGTAAAAACTGTATACGTGTAGCATAGGCCCGTCCGTTTCATACACCATGCGCCTATAATACGACCTAGCTAGTACGTAGTACAAGTGTAGCTAGCAGCTCGTAGGGCCGTCACCCTACGTGAGAGAGATGTACCAAATCTGTCGTCTGGTTACCTTCCATTATACGAGCATACACACACATATACTATATAATAAATAATAAAGAGAAGTGAACGTCAAAAGTCAAAGATAAACGCTCTATATAGGTCATCCACGAAGAACTGAGTCTACTGAAATGATTTAAGCATGTTGCACGACATTATATATGGACGTGTTTGGATCTCGGCCACCATCTAACTATGCTGCAGGCTGCAGCCGTGGCGACAACTAAAAATCATGCTCGCGCGCGTTTGGTTGACAAAAAGGGCTAGACAGGCATAATAAGAAAAATATACACATTTAGGCGCTGTTTGTTGGTAGAATTTTGGTTTTTTAGGTACATAATTTTTGCTGCATATATCTATACATAGTATAATATCTAGGTGTATAACAGATGTAATGTATTTTTAGAAAAGCCAAACGACTTATAATTTAGAACCGAAGGTGTCATATATATCTTCCCCAAATTTCCATTTATGTGTGTGTATAGGGTGCATTTTATATACTCCCGGGAGTAATTACTCACATAATCAATAAATCACGTTGTGTATGTGTACATACTCATTTATCAGTTTAAGTATGTTGACATACTAATATTAAGATATTCCAAATATTTAGTATGCGATTTTTTTTTCTTCAAAAGAGCACATATTTTTTAATATATTATATAATATTATGATAGTAGCATATAAAATAAGTATAACCATATACTCTAAGTATACATACATACTTATTATACATAGTACCTTAAATGGTCTAGTATGATGATATACTCCATCTACGTATACTTCGTCAGGCCATATACGCACTAAATCTAGAGATATACACATGGGAGTAACTACTCCCTAGGAGTAGGAAATAATTTCCATATATATATATATATGTATGTATGTATATGTATATGTATTGGCATACATACGTATGCATATATCCGTACGTACAGCCGCCCACTTGCAGTAGCAGCTACACATAATCTGTTGCGAATAAATGATATCCAACGTAGTACGATGAGATAAGATAACGCGCCAGATCTATCTATTGCTTCTCTATGCTTTTTTTAATCCTATAGTACTCACTCATTGTCAACTCTATCAAGACGGCCGTACTCGCTCGATCGTACGTATTTTTCTCCAGGGGGATACTAGTACATATCGTACACAAATACAGTCTGAGAATATAACGTGTCGATGTTTTGTTGGACTTATGTTTACGATTGGAGGATTGGCTTATGTTTCTTATAGGTAGAGGAGGCCGGAAGTGCCAAGTCTTCCATTCTCGGAAAAAAAATGTTTACGATTGGAGGAAGCAACTGACGGGTATGCACTATGAGGCCATTCACCACAGTTCGTGCCTTTGCCTTTTTCTTTTAATACAACTGAATGTACATCATGTTATGTTGTTCTAAGACCCATAATTAGCTCGCTACTGTTTTCTGCTAGCGACTTGGGGTTGTCCTAGTCTTTAGCATTCAACACTTAAGACCCTGTTCGTTTCTTTTATAATCCGTACTTGTTTTTTTTCAGTCGAAACAATGTTTTTCTCTCTCAACAAATCAGCTGGAACAGTGTTTCGGCTTGTTTTTTCAGCGAAGCGAACGGGGCCTTATTTATGAGCTCTTTTTTCTATCAAATGGCTCCTGGGAAGGATTTCCATGTGCTAAGAGTGCTATAGTGTTTTTATTACTACTTATATTAAAACACTAAGAGAACTGTACCATGCATTTTGACAGCAAAATATCCCTATGGTTTGGTGAGATAATCTGTAAGTCGTCATTATTATATATGCATACATAGATCAGACTAGTTATGAGTGTGTGTGACACAAGAATTCGGGCCTAGCGCACATAATAAAGGTGCGTCATATAAAGTCAAGACCCACACATCGTCACGTTTTTTACACGCATTCACTACAGGAAAACGGGGCTTTGCCGACAGCCCTGGGATTTGCCGACAGGATGGAATATCCCTCGCTCGGCAAGAGACTCTTCTTGCCGATACACCAAAGGCGTTCGGCATAGCCATTGCTTTTTGCATTGCCGATAAGCTAGCGGTCGGCAAAAGTCGCTTGTTTGACAACCAGCCGGTCGACAAAGAACCTCGATCGACAAATCGCGTCACGGGTAGCGGTGACAGACGCCGTCGGCTTTGCCGACAATAACCGTCATTTGTCATCGCAAAAAGCGACCCTTGCTAAACAAACGAGACACATCTTGTCGGTAAAATTTTATTTTTTTTTTGAATTTTGAATTAAGACTTTTGTGTGACCTTACTATATTGTTTACAAGTCTATGTTGAAATTTGGAGGATTTTTGAAAGTTTTAGCTATATTTAGTGAATTTATTTCATTTTCATGAATTTTCAGCGTAATTCAAATTTGAGCTGCGCAGTGCATGAAATAACGAAACTTAGTGATTCGAAAAGATGATATTCATGTTAGAGAGCATATTTTGAGGCTGTGTGCATAAACTCACGAAAACTTGAAGTCCTTGCTCACAGAATAAGCACATCCAGTAGCGGTAGAAATGTTTTTTAAATTATATAAAATCCAAACAGCGAGTCAAAAAAGATCACAAAACTTGTGGATGTCCAAATATGTTATGGCATTTGAACACTACGATAAAACTTTGAGAAATTTTCTCAAGTTTTTATCGTAGGTGAGTGTTCAAAACACGACATCTCCACAAGTTTAAGATTTTTCGACGTCCGTTTGTTATTTTATATAATTTAAAAGCACTTTTATCGTACCGCTGGTCGAGATGTTCTTATTTTGTGGGCAAGGACTTCAAACTTTTCGTGAGTTTATGCACACAGCCTCAAAATACATTGTCCAACATGAATATCATTTTTCGAATGCCCATGTTTCGTTTTTTCATGCACCTACAATTCAAAATTGAATTACGCGAAAAAATTCATGAAAATGAAATAAATTCACGAAATATATAAAAAAACTAAAAAATTCTCCAACTTTTGAATTTGTGACGTATTTAATGTTGGAAGAACGTACAAAAAATATTAGATAGGAAAACAACCAAAAAAAAAACTTTCTTTGGATCGCTTGTGGCGGGTCGTGAAAGAAGACTTTGCTTAGATCGCTTGTCGACCTAGCAAGATCGGCAAAGAAGAGTCGCTTTGCCGATTGCCCAGCATACATCACTGCTATCGGCAAAGAGCCAACCCTAAAAAGCCCAAGTCGGCCCACCAGCGCCTTATCCCCTCCTCTTCCTCCCAATCCCAATTGCTCACACAGCCCACCTTGTTAGCCGCCCACTTGCTGGCCTTGCTCCATTGCTTGTTGCCACCTTCGCCACCTTACCTTGCCTCTCCTCAAGCCACCTCCTCGCCTTTCCCACCCCACCTCACGCCCATGGCCGGCCATGACCCATGCATTGGCCGCCCATGACCCCCGACGGCCGATGAGCCATGCAGTAGCTCATCCTCGACACCCGCCTCACTCGCCCCACTCCACCCACCCCCCACACACCCCGCCTTGGCCGCCACCACCGTGGCCTTGTGGCCATACCGCCAGACCCACCTCCATGGCACCGGCCACGCCAGCCCGGGCCCCGCACCGCCTCATGCCCTCCCCACCGCCCCTCTGCCC